CGCTGTGAGTTAAAAAGGAGGAAAGGAAGCTGGTCAGGAGCACAAGCACAGCTTCCGGGAGGAGGGCCGCCGCCCCCGCGGCTTCCAGCCTGTCCTGGTGCACCTGTAACGTGTGTCCTACGTCTCACCCTTCTCATCTTTCCTCTAACTGAGCCCAGAAGGGCACAGAGTCCCACAGGCTCAGGGGCACACTACAAGCACGGGGCTGGGTGTGGAGCCGATCCAGCCTCACTGCTGGAACTTACTTGGGTAAAGCCCCGTTTCCACCTTCCCACAAGTTCTCCGGCCCAGCCTCACATTTTTCCAGCCCCAGGCAGAGCAGCTGCATTGTGTGAATAAGGGATCTTCAGCGCAGATGGGGTGGCGACAGATGCCCTTGGAATCTGAACCATGGGGGAATCCTGCCCACTCCTACCTCCCTGCATCTTCTAGAAACCCTGAAGCATCACCCAGAGCCAGACTCCACCCACCACAAAGCCTGCTGCCCCATAAATGCCTCCCTTGATCAGCCCCATCGGGATGTGTCAACAAACAGACAAGGGAAGAAAGTGTCCCACTGGCATTCTGGGAAAGCCAGGGCTGGGAGCCAAAACACACTGACGACGGGGACGCGCTACCTCCAGAAGAATCTGTCACACAAAAAAAATTCTATAGCCCTCAAGCTGCAAGAGCCCTGAAGATAACTTTTTCATCACACGGTGGCACCCGCTGGCTGCCCCAGGCAGATAAGGCCCTTCAGGAACCGTCCCTAACACTGAACTTCAGGAGGTCCTTCCTGTATCTAATTCAGTCTTCAGTGAAAGGGCAGAGCAGTTACAAGGCAAGAATGACTGAGAACTCCAAGACCTGAGGCCAAGACCCAGCACTGTGTCAAGGTGTGGAGCCTGCAGAGGACAAACCCCAGCGAGGGGCTGCTCCCCTCACCCCCGCCTAACAGCAGCCTTGTCTATGTCATCCAGATGACGTCATGCTAACTTGACCGGTTAGAGCAGCTGTGAGGGGAAACAGACCCCAAAGGTCCCTCTGCTGAGTCCTGCGAGGGGGATGGGGTGTCTTTGTGTGGATGCTGTTGGTGAGTGGAGAGCCAATGGAGCATGATGCTTATGGCCCAAGCTCTGAAATAGCCAAGCTGCCCGGGTTCAAATCCTGCCTCTACCGTGTATTGGCTGTGTGACCTCTCGTGATACTATGCTTCTCTCTTCCTCAGTTAACTTTTCTATAAAATGGGCATGATGGCAGTGCCTAGCCGATTGGGTTGTAGTGAGGCTTACACAAGGGAATACAAGGACAGCCTTGAGCCACGTCTGGCACTTTCTGTGGATTGCTGTTGTGAAGGTGACCAGTTTGCCTGGGACAGCCTGGCTTATGCCTGTGGTCCCAGCATTGCTATGAATGTCCCCGCTTTCACTCCCGGGAGAGCCCAAGGTTGGATGATACAAGGCTGACTCCCTTTGGCTTCTTCATGTCCACCTGGTTATTTCCTTGCTTCATGCTGCCTCTGAGTACTGGGGAGCCAGGTTCCCAAAATGTAGGTCCCCGAAGTGGGCTCCGCCCGTGCCACTGGCGTGTCTGCTCCACAAACTCAGTGTTTCCTCTTTTCCTTTTTCTCTGCACGTTGTCTTTCCTGCTTCTTCCTCCACCCTTATGGCTGTCCTCTCCTTTCCTGCTTCCCTGTCCACACCTTAGGACTCTGGTAGTGCACACAGGTACCGTCTGGCTTTACTGGGGTCTCCCCTGACCCTGTACTTGGACAGAACCCTTTATGGCTCTAACTAAACTGCCTTATCAAATTTCTCTTAGAGGAAGGAAACAATTGGAAAAGTCAAAGAAATGACCAATAGATGGATGAATGCAACAACATGCTGGGTTTTGTTGCTCCTGTTATTGCTGTTTCTTTGTGTGTGTGTGTGTGTGTGTGTGTGTGTGTGTGTGTGTGTGTTGTGTTGGTGGGAACAAAAAGTGTAACAGTTTGAAATGGTCCATTGAATGCTAGAGCTCTCTATAAAACTGTCCCAAGAGCTATTTTTTAAATTTATTTTTATTTTTATTTTTTGGAGACAGAATCTCACTTTTGTTGCCCAGGCTGGAGTGCAACGGTGTGATCTCAGCTCGCTGCAGCCTCCACCTCCCAAGTTCAAGCAGTTCTCCTGCCTCAGCAAGAAGTTATTTGTAATCCCAAATAGCTGGGATTACAGGTACCTGCAAGCACGCCTAACTAATTTTTGTATTTTTTAGTAGAGACGAGGTGTCGCCATGTTGGTCAGGCTGGTCTCAAACTCCTGACCTCAGGTGATCTACCCGCCTCAGCTTCCCAAAGTGCTGGGGTTACAGGTGTGAGCCACTGTGCCCAGCCCCCCAGGGCTATTTTATGGAAACCCCGGAGGCTCCCCTCCAAGACAGCAGCCTCCCTATGCGTCAGTGGAGAAAGCAAAGCCTCTGGAGCCCAAGGGTCTGGACCCACTTCTGCCACTCACTACCAACTGACAAAGGACAGTGATTCCGCAAAGACTCAGTTTCTCCATCTGTAACATAGGGCACACTTGTCTCTAGAACGCCCTGATTCTATGACATTGTAAGAGGCCCCGGACCTGCTCTTAGGATCCTGAATTCTGCAATATTCTGCAATATTTGACAGTTGCATCTTTTAGTTCTTCTATGGGGGAAACTTAAGAGGGACCCAGGGCCTTGAAAAATATAAAATCTGAAGTAATTCTCACCTAAGGTATCATGGCGAGTGTTTGAGTCCGCTGTGCATTGCAACAGAATCGACACTATTTTGTGTGGAAGAAAAGCAAGAGAGTGATGTGAACTCAGTGGGTGATTAGCCACTCCCTGAGGAATCCCTCATGAGTCCTCCCCCAGCCTCGCTTCTCTCAGCTGTGTTGCCAGTGCCCAGGCAGCCTGCAGGTTCAACCCTCCTTCTCCACAGCAGGCTCAGCAAACGTTGCGACAAGGAGCCCTAAGACAAAATGGATGGCCACTGCGGCCACTGCCCCGGTGCTGGGGCCCGCCTCCTGCAGGCTCACCGCAGGCTGACGCATCTCCAGTCACCCACCACACCTGGAGTTCCATCTCCATCAGTGGCATCACCAGCCACTCCAACTCCGGAACACAAATCGCCATCTTCTTGGTCTCTTCTGCTCTAGTTCCTGACACTTATTCAGTTACCAGATTGCATTTACTCCGTCGTTCTCTGGGTTCAAATCCCCCTCCCACCGCTTATTTGCTGGATGGCCTTCAATAAGCCACTTAACCTCTCTGACTCTCAGTTTCCTCCTCTACAACATGGGACAATCATAGCAATCTCCTCATGAGGTTGTCATGAGGATTCAATGAGATTAAACATGAAAATCTCCTACCACAGGCCCTGGGACATAGCAGATGACGTTCCCCCATCTCCAAGCCTTTTAGCCCCTTCCTCTCCATTCCCACAGGCCCTGATCAGCCCCTCAAGGTCACTGCAGTGATGTTCTTCTCAGGTTCTCTTCCCAAAGCTTCCTGCATGGCAGTATATCCCATACACTGCCGCAGACACGTTCTTCTGAACCCAGCTCCAGGAACATCACTTCCCTTCTCAGAAACCATCAAAATATCCCTAGGCTTAATAATGAATTCCTAGACTCCTAACACCCCAAGACTCTGCCATCTCTCCCAGGCAGCATTCCTCGCCGGATTGCCCACTACACTATTCCTTGCTCCTCAGGTACATCCCACCTTCATGGGTTTGCTCAGGCATCCTTTCTCAAGACGCCCAGACCGAGCCTCCTGTTCAAGGCCCGGCCTCAGTACCACATCCAGGATGTCCTCCGTGAGTCACTCCTTCCCGAAGTAACGTCTCTCCTCCAAACTCCGTCTACACGCTTCATAGTCTAGAACTGAGAGGTGGAGGACCTCGGAGCCCATCCATGAAGCCTCTCACTTATCATTCAAAAACTGTGCATAAAGTCGCTTGAACGCAAATACTACCCCGCAAGGCTGTGCAGGTTAATTTCACCTGAAAAGGGGCATGAGCTCTGGACCCTCCAACTAAAATGCTGATTCCCTGTGAAACGAGCTGCCCTGATGTCATATCCTTATGCCCACATCCTTGATAAAAAGACTCTTTGGTACCTGCTGTTTTCTTCAGAGACAAGGAACCCACCACTTCATGAGTTAGGTTCTTCCTCTTGACCTCTGACCACCCTGGGGACTCCCACAGATCAGCCCTTTCTGTCCTCTGGAGTCACACAGAACGAATTCCTTTGAGACTCCTGGTGTCCTCTACAGAGCCAAACAGGGCAGGTTCCCAAGCACACTCTGTAAACAGATAAATGAACTCAGAGGGCTTTCCCACGTGGCAGGGTACATTCGCTGCATCCCAGCATGCATGCGTGTGTGTGTGCGAGCGCACACACACACACACACACACACACACACAGGGGCAGAGTCAGCACGAGGCTGCTGAGCCACACAGCCAGCGGAAGCCAAGCCCCAGCAGCGGCCCACTTCCTGACCGCCTTCCTTTGCTCTGGGAGGTTCTCTCTCTGTGTCTTTCTGACTGTCTGTCTGTCTCGGGTCTTTGTTTCTAGCATGGCAACAGCTGTGGATGCTGCCAGGGCTCCTAGCAGCACTGACCTGCAAGGTAGGAGTTTCGGTTCTTAGACCTGTGACCTTGGGCAAGTCACTTTACCTTCTGAGCCTCAGTTTACTCATCTGTGAGATGAAGAGGCCGGATGAGGCTGGAGGATTCTTAAGGTCCCTTCCTGACCCAAACCCTAGTGCTTCTCGGCTCCCCTCCAGTCCCGTTACCGAGTGACAGGGAGGGGCGCAAAGGCCCGGCCAGGCCTGGGGGTGGTAGGGGAGCCAGCTGTTCCCACCCGAGGGCGCACAGCCTCCAGCCAGGCCCTCTGCGAACTCCATGTGCGGCACACACCCGCTCTCACTTCGCAGCCGGAGGGGCAGGCGGGAAGCGCCGCCCCCCGGTGCCCCGAGCGCCCACCCTCAACCTTCCTCCACTTTACCTTGGGCGTGTAGGCTTCCCGTGGACCTGCCCGCGCCACCCGCTCGGCTCACAGCTGTCAGGCAGCCGCCCGCACCGCCGCCCGCGGTGCTCGACTCTTTCCGCTCCGATCCGCGCGGGCTGGAGCAGCCCCACAGCGAAGCTGAAGGGGAAGCGGCGCCCCCTGGGCGCCCTCCGGGATCTGCGGGAACCGCCGCCCCCGCCGCCCCCGCCGCCCCCGCCGCCCCCGCCGCCCCCTGGGTGCCCTCCAGGACCTGCGCGCGCCGCGCGGTGGGGGTCTGGGCCGGCTGGCGCGACCTGAGACGGCCCGGGAGCCTGGGTGGCGAGGGCGGGGCCGCGACCGACACAGCCTGCCTGACTGGTCGTCTGCTCCCTCGGCCCCCCAGGCCCCTGGCCCCGATTCAGGTTCCCAAGGTGGGGCCTCAGTCGGGCCCTTGCTGGCTCGCTGGAGAGATGGCGTCTAGCTGTGCGCCCCGCCAAAACCCGGCAACGGCCCGGCGTCACTCCAGCTGTTACCTCTAGGAACAGAAACTAAGAAGGGACCTTGTTCTTTAGACTTTTCTGACTCTTCTACCGTGGGCACGAACGGTTAAAAACAAAACAAAACACCGCACACCCAAAACCCAGTGCATATTTGTTAATAAAGCAGGAAGTCCATCTTCAAAGGCCTCCCAGGAGTTCGGGCTGCAGGATAACCCCTCGGCCTCGGGCACAAGGCAAGGCCCGCCCTGCCCGCTCCGGGCACAAGCTGACTTTCCAGCCTCACCCTCCCTCTCTCTCACACACACAGCATCTCTGCTCTGGACACACTGGCTGTTGGCAGTCACTAGCTGTTCCTCATAGCTGCTAGGAGTTCTTGCTTTTTGCCTGGAACACCATCCCCTTTCATCTCTGACTGTTGAAATTCTACTCATCCCTCCAGGCCCCTCTGAAGCACCACCTTCTCTCGGAGAACCCTTCCCCAGACGCTGCCCCTGCAGAGTGCGGCAGTTCTTCCCTGGAGAGCCCATGTTTCTGGTGCTGGTTTAGGTAGTAATATCTCCCTCACACACACACTAAGCCCTCTTCCAAGGTGGAGAGAAACAAATTAGCACTTACTGAGCAGCTGTTAGAAATTGCTGCGTGGAGTCCTTTTTCCTGCTTGCAGCCCAGCCAGCCACTAGCCCACACCACCCTCCACCCAACCAGAGTTTCAGAAGGCTCTCAAGGGCTCTAAGGCCTGCCCTCTGGTGTGTCCCCACTGTGTGCCTTGTGGACCGGCACACAGTGGGGCTCTGTTGTGGGTATACTTTTCCGGCTCTGTTCTGGGTATCCTTCCATGTGTCAGCCTCCAAGGTCTGCAAGCTGGTGGCTTGCCCTCCACTCAGCCCTATGTGAGGAAAGAAGGACCCTTCATAATCAGAATCTGAGAAGTGGAAGGGACCTCAGAGATTATCCAATGCAAAGCCTGCCCACCCATTTTACAGAGGGGAAAACTGCAACCACAGAGATCAAGTCAGAGGTATCGAAGGTACTTACCATTGTTACTGTTTTCGTTGCTGTTAATCCTTGCACATTCAGAAAGCCTTTCACTCCTAAAGCAAAGTGTTGTCACTCATTTACCCCTCACAGTCTCAGAGGTATTATCGTGGTTACTGCACAGACTCTGGAGGCCAAAGCCCTGGGTTTGAATCTTGGTGCTCCAACTTGCCAGCTACATCCTTGGCAAGTTACAGGAACCTTCTCCATCAGTACAATGTGGGTAGTAACAGCTCTGCACCATGGGGTGTCCTACCAATTGAAATAAGTGTGTATCTTTAAAGGCTTAGAATAGTAGTTGGTGCATTAAAAATGCCAAATGCATTTGCTCTTATCAAATTGTTTTTGTTTTTGTTTTGTTTTTTTGAGACAGAGTCTCACTTTGTCACCAGGCTGGAGTGCAGCGGTGCAATCTCAGCTTCCTGCAGCCTCCACCTCCCGAGTTCAAGTGATTCTCCTGCCTCAGCCTCCCGAGTAGCTAGGATTACAGGCATGTGCCACCACGCCCAGCTAATTTTTTACATTTTTAGTAGAGACGGGGTTTCACCATGTTTGTCGGGATGGTCTTGATCTCCTAACCTTGTGATCTGCCCACGTTGGCCTCCCAAAATGCTGGGATTACAGGCATGAGCCACTGCACCCGGCCTTTTGTTCTTTTTTATTTTTATTTATTTATTTATTTATTTTTTGAGACGGAGTTTTGCTCTTGTTACCCAGGCTGGAGTGCAATGGCGCGATCTCGGCTCACCGCAACCTCCGCCTCCTGGGTTCAGGCAATTCTCCTGCCTCAGCCTCCCGAGCAGCTGGGATTACAGGCACGTGCCACCATGCGGAGCTAATTTTTTGTATTTTTAGTTAGAGACAGGATTTTACCATGTTGACCAGGATGGTCTCGATCTCCTGACCTCGTGATCCACCCACCTCGGCCTCCCAAAGTGCTGAGATTACAGGCGTGAGCCACCGCGCCTGGCCCCCTTTTGTTATTTTTAATTGTTTTACTTCACAGTTGGAATCATGGAGGCTCAGAAAGGCTGAGACTCATCCAAAAAATTGCTGCTTTGGGGATGGTTTCTCACCAAACTCCATGCAGCTGTCTTAGTCTCTGATGCCATTAGTCACTTTGTGTCTGAGTCTAACCACCTATTTAATAGGGTAGAAAAGCGCCTGCCCTTTAGCCCACCTCAGAACACCTAGACATTTCATGGTACAAACATTAACCACATCTTCTGGCTTCTATGGGGATGGCTCCACGTTCTCGGAGCACCCTTCCCCAGACACTGCAGCGTGCCCCAGTTCTTCCGTGGTAAGCCCATCTTTCTGGCGCTGGTTTATGTAGTAGCATCCCAAGGTGGAGAGAAACAAATTAGCACCTACTGAGCAGCTGTTAGAAATTGCTGCGTGGAGTCCTTTTTCCTGCTTGCAGCCCAGCCAGCCACTAGCCCACACCACCCTCCACCCAACCAGAGTTCCAACCCACACTCACCCCTCTTCCGAGGTGAAGAAAAGAAACTACCCTCCAGCCCATCTCAGAACTGACATTTTCTTTCACAGAACACCACACCTCCTGGTGTCCTTCAGAACCGCAGAGCCATCACGCTAAGGGCTGAAAGTTCGGCTTGTACACTGGGCCTCTTTTACTCTTGGCCCAGAGCAGAAAAGCAATGGGGCAAAGATGGTTCTTCCCATGTATGGATGTAGGCAACTGTGGCACCGTTGATATTCACTGAGAGGCCCCAGGCTCTGCGGCTAGCCTGGACCACAGGAGGGATAAGGACCTTCCCCACGACTACACGGCTTTCCTGATTCAGTGTTGCAGGAGAAACCCAACCTCGTTTATTCAATGAGGATTTATTGAGCGCTCTCTAGGTGATGAATAAGACCGAGGCAAGGCTAGCTTCCTGGGCATGTGACCTCCGAAGGCACATAGGCCAGCAATCCCCAATCCTTTTGGAACCAGGAACCTGTCTCGTAGAAGACAATTTTTCCATGGACCGGGGGTGAGGGTGAAGGGTGGGAATGGTTTCAGGATGAAACTGTTCCACCTCAGATCGTCAGGCATTAGTTAGATTCTCATAAGGAGTGTGCAAACCAGATCGCTCACAAGCACAGTTCACAATAGGGTTCATGGACCAGTACCCCAGTACTGGTTCGTGGCCTATAGGTTGGGAACCCCTGACATAGGCCCCTCACTTAGAAGGGCTTTATATATAGTTTAGTGCTCTCCTGTCCCCTTCTTGAAACTCTTAATAATTTTTGAACAAGGGACCATATACGTTGTATTTTACACTGGACCGTTCAAGTTGTACAGCTGGTCTGGACCTCGGCTCTTCCCTAGGGGCTCCCATTTCACAGAGGATTGGCCATGGAACTGGCAATTGCAGTTCAGTAGGATGTGGGTTGTGACAGAGGCAGGGTAGCCACGAAAGAAGGAGAGGATCTTGGCCAGTGTTCAGCTCACTTGGGCCACGCTCCCCAGCTGTGCAGCCTGTCCAGCCGCCAGTGACTTACCACTGTGCTCCTTGCTGGGAGAATGGCCTTGGTTTAGCACCAGGGCCTGTAGCCCCAGACAGCAGCTGCAAACCCTGGCACCCTGGGAGGGCACTGCTAGGTCATGTCAATACCAGGAAATGTATGTCATTAGAGCCCTAAGCTGTTTTCATGTTCTCCAACCCATACTCCATGATCACCAGACTGCCAGCGGGCTCTGATTCCTTCTGCCTGCCCAGACGCAGTCAAATTCCAGAAAAGGATAAAGTCATCCACACTGAAAAGCAATTGGCAGGCAAAACTTAATGGGGTATTCACCCAAAGGACACTTGGGTTTTATTCGAGGTCTCTTGGTGTCCTCCTGGCCTGTGCTGCTGGCATGTAATAGGTATCTAAGTCATGATAGTTGAGTGAACATATGAAAGGTACATACATATGGCAAAGCCTGGAATTGGCAGTTTAAAGGTCATCAGCCCAAGAACAGAGTATTTTTTATTGTGTTCTGTTTTCTTTTTCTTTTTCTTTTTTGTTTTCGGATGAGTGCTGGAAGCCCCAACACAATGGTTTGGAAGTAAACAGAATGGAGAAGTAAGGCGGTACCACTCTCAGGAGGCTGGCAGTGTGAGAGAGGAAGAGAACAAGGCAGGAGACTGGAGGAGGTTTGTCGACTGAGGTCAAGAATTTGAAGGAGAAAGGATGAAGATCGATGAGGGCTCAGTGGCCCCGTATAAGAAGAGGCAGGAAGGACTAGGGAGCACAGGGATTAGGAGGAGCCCCTAGGTCTCAGAAGCAGTGGGAGGAGGTAAAGATGAGAGAGGATGGGAGCAAGGCAGTGGGAGGAAAGTGGATGCAGAGCTCCTAGATTATTGTCCGTTTCCTCTATGAACCAAGAAAATAGGTCATGGTTGGAGGGTTTGGGCTGACCAGTGGGTAAGTGACATTTAGATGCTTGTGCTGTGAGTTGCTGCCTCCTCTGGGGTGGGGCAGGGAAGAACCAGTAGGAGGGGAAGTAGAAAATGGTCTTGAAGGGCTCAGGGACACTTCCAAGGAGGCGTGCTGCCCTCTTCCAGAGTCA